TCTACAATAGTCAAATTCATAGAAACAAAGTAGATGGTCATTACTAGGGGCTTTGGGGATGGGGAAAAGTCTAGTTGTTTGTTAATGAGTAGAGTTTGAGATTTGCAAGTTAAAAAAGTTCTAGAGATCTGTTCCACAACAACGTGAATAAATGTACTACTACTTGAACTGTATAATTAAAAATGGTTAAGAAAGGTAAATGTTATGTTTTCTTAATTAAAAAAAAAAAAGATTAAGTGGGTTATGTCAGAAGACACAGGAGCCCGCTTGAAGGAATTCCCATTGGTCAAATTTAGGACAAGTCAAAAAGAATAATGACTGTAATTGATTACAACACATTGATTTAAAAAAAAAATCCATGTGGTAATAGTGATACTAAAAAAACAAACAAAAAACACCCTTTATAGAAGAATGCTAACTAATAATTGTAGAAGAAATGGTATATTTAGAAGATGAACACTTTTCCCAAAAAAAGAAAGAAAATGAACATTTTCTATCCAACTCTCTGTGTAGTACCTGATTCAGGAAAGGATCATCAATAAATGCTTAAACCATTAGGTGAGCAATTATAGTGGAACAGAATATTCTAATGGTATCAAAAGCCATCACCCCACAGAAGATTTGCTAATTACAAAGGGGAAGTTATACCTTACAATGGAGAAAACCAGCATCACTATTAGTGGAACAATCTGTCATTCACTAGGTAGTACCTCCTAATTTGATACAGGATGAACGCACAACAGTACTTACGAATTATTCCAGCCCCAAATGCTTTATCTGAATCTAATCCCACCTCTATACCCAACTTCTGGTTTACAGGGGATGCAGGAACAAGTTAAATAACACCACAGCAAACAATTCAAAATGTGGGACAATCTACAAAACAAGTGATCTAGATTAAGAGAGATTAAGGAGACAATAGCTAAACATATGAACCTTGATTAGATCCTGTTTTAACAATTTACAAGGCACATTTTTAAGACAACTGAGGATATTGGAATATGGTATAGATATTAGATGATTTTTAAGTTAAGACTAAATATAAATTGCCAATAAATGTTTAACCTCACTAATTATTAGAACAAAATATGTTAAAATTTACCCACCAAATTGGTGACAATAAAAATACAATTTGGGAGGGCCGGCCGAGTGGCTCAGTTGGTTAAAAGTGTGACCTATAAGCAACAGTGTCACCAGTTAGATTTCCATATGGGCCAGTGAGCTGCGCCCGAGCTGAGCTTCCGCTGAGCTGCCGACAGGCGGCTGGATGGCAGCTGGACTTGGAGCTGAGCTAGCTGCGCCCTCCACAACTAAGATTGAAGGACAACAACTTGGCTGTTCCCCTTCCCAATTCCCCAATAAAATCTTAAAAAAAAAAAAAATACAATTTTGGGGAACAGCGCAATCTGGTAACATGTACAGAATTTTTTAAATGTTATGTACTTCACCTAGCAATTCCACTTTTAGGCATTCATCCTATAGAAATAAGAGTTGTACGTAAGCATTGACCAGAATGCTCACTGCACATTACTGATGAAAATGGACAAAACCTAATTATCCAAGATGGAATAATAAATACCTTATAATCATTAAAAATCTTAATTTGAGATATTTAACAAGGAAAAGTCCTTAAAATACATTAACTAAATGGAAGAGAGTAGTTATTTTTTGTGATCTGAGAGGGCAGAACTAGTAACTACCATTGGAAATTATAAGGAGTTTGGCTCAATGTAAGGAATAACTTTCTAACAAAGTTTTCTAAGCAACGAACGGCCTCCTTCAGGGGATAGTGAGTTTTACATTATTGGAACTCTAAGCAAAGGCTGAATGATCACTTGGCAAAGATACATAGAATATATTTAGGGGTTAGGAGATTAAAGAGAAGATCAGAATGGTCCTTTTCTACTCTAAGAACTTAAAATTTCATATAAAGTTTTCCATTAGCTGGGATGTCAGGAAGGAAGTGCTCGGTATTTCTTTGTACTAAACTAAAAAGATTATACCTATACTGAAATAATGGAGTTGAAGAATGATTTATATTATTATGTAATAAATCTTTTATATTATGTTGTATCAATAATATATACATTATGGGCCGGCCGCGTGGCGCGATGGTTAAGAACTCGCTTGGGATGCCAGAGGGCCCCGGTTCGGATCCCACATAT